TGTATATCCCAAGTCACAGAGTGAAATTAATTAGCCTCTGATAAAACACTGTACTCTCGACCACTAGTCCGCTTAGGAACAGAGATGAGCCCATACTCTATGGTATTACAGAGCATATATGAGGAAGAAGGTCACATTGTAGATTAAATAGAAATTCCAGGTGGCTTGAAGAGAGCAATCTATACTGCTTACGAGAGCGATAAAGTACCTTAAAACGATTATCCTTATTTTTTTATCTTTTGAACTAACTAAGCTATGCTAGTTGATTGAGCCACCGAAAGGAAAGACTCCAATGAGAGTTGTACGCGCACTCGGGGAGTCAAGGAAAGCAACCAAGACCATAACACCGGTGTAAAGTGCAAGCCCTGCGAAACCCTTTGAAATTGGAGAAAAACACAGAAACCGCATCAGACATCCATAAGCTAAGCCACTTGATGGCGAACATAGAATCATGAAAGCTCTAATTCTTTAAAAGCATCATGCATCGCAATGCTGATGTCATCACAAAGAAGAGCACACTCGCTTTATAATCGCCATTTGCCTTGAAACGCCGATGGGAAGATGAAAAGAGCAAATACTGAAACAGTTCAAGTAGCGTACACGAGTAAGTCGATGAGACATTGTCAAGCACTGCCTTCTGGTAGAAAATGCTCTTCAAAGTAAATGTGAGACGGCCGAAAGCACCGAAAAAGAGCAAGATGCATGAGAAAGCGACCGCTGACTCTGAAACGCGTGGTCATACGCTATGAAGTTATCTCTTAAAACAAAGTTAGCATTCTCATCCTGCATCAGAAGACATGGATCCTTACAGTTCAGACGGTTCAGCAGTGCAATACAGGCTTTCATCGCGTTGTAGGCCACCCGGTTTTTTTCAATCCAAGCCCCTAACCAAGAGTTAGCAAGCTCGACAGCAGAGCCACAGATGTACTTACAGAAGCGTAAGGCATCACCAGGTAGGGAACGAGTCGTTCTGATGAGCAACATTTTCTCGAGATTGTTGAGTCGAAGACGCCTCTCGATCGCTGCATAGCAAAGGTTCTGAGTACGAACGCGATAGGCATTACCACGAGGATCCGGCGTCCAGAAGTTGATCATCTCCGCGACAGTTTTTCTAAGTCTGTAAGCAGAGTCCAAATGATGATGTGCAGGGATACATACGTCATGTAGTACTGCTGAAGACCGGCTCTGAAGATGTAGTGGTAACCGTAACGCTGAACGCTTCTGGCGAGATCGGCATTTGCCCGTTGTTCCTTGACAAGAAGAGCCCGGTGGAACTCAAGTCTGAGGTTGTCATTCATGCTTTCCTCAATAGCGGGATCAAGGACGCTAATGAGCTCGATTGGGTGGCCTTCGTAGTCCGCGTTGGTTGGGATGATGCCAAAAGCAGCCGTGATTGCCTGAATGTTTTGACCAAAACGACGGACAGGGAGCCCAAGATTTCTAGGAATGTTATTGACCTGCTGGAATGGATACATAACTAGCTCGCCTCTAGCCAAAGCAGTAGCCTCAGCCATGAGTCTGTAAGCATTTCCATGACGCATGAAGGAGATGATGATGTAGGTAGCCTTGTTTCTTAAGTCTGGCCGGTAGTGGGCATTGTCGGCAACAGTACCCAGATACCACAGAAGAACATCTCTTTCATAATCCATATTGAAGATGCCCTCAATCTGAGATTCTGAGAGATACACAAGGCCTGATTGAGAACTTCTTGATGAGGGTCGTTTGTAGAGCAAAGCGAGGGACAGTTAATGAAGTGCTAAGGACAAGAGAGTTAAGGGGATGTCAAGGTAGAAGACTTAAACAGAGAGAAATTAGGATACTTTTGTGTTTGTTTAAAGTGAAGAGGAATTAAGTGGTTAGAGGCTGGGAGAAAAAGCGAAGTGACTTTTAAGCATTCACCCAAGTAAACAAAGAAACCCACCAACCTCCCCCTCAAGTTTGAACACTAGCCTCATTTGCCATGTCTTACAAAAGTCTTTTGACTTTTTTCTCCCATCTAGCATGCTATTTATCTAACTTTCTACGCTATCTATGAGATACCTTCCTTCCTCGCCTTCTTCATTCGCTCTGGAAACTCTCTACAAAGTTGACAGTTGGGCTGCGGAGTTCTCTCTTTCAAGATCTCAACATTGTTCACAGTAATCTTGTCTACAGACTGAGGTCAGAAATGGCTACCATTCCAATCACCATGAAGTCGGCAGTAGACTCTACAGACACTTTCACAGAGCTTCTTTGGCAGGATGCTTTGCGTCACCTTGAGTCCATGAATAACGAGGTCCTCCTCCCCATCAATGTGACCGACATGATTGGCCAGGACAATGTCGACAAGATCAAAACTCGTCTTAGGTAAGTGTCTACTCTAAAGCCACTCTCAAGCTCAGCTGACAACACAGAATGACAGTGCACTCATTGGCGCTCCTGTTGTTGCTTTTGTTGACAAGTCCATTGAAGCTCTCCGTGTTATGCGCACCCCCGCATTTTCTGGAAGAGCTATCTCGGTTGCATCCCACGGTGCAGCTCTCAATGCGGACAAGGTTGCTGCGACTGAGTCCTTCAAACCTCGTGGAAAACCCGCAGGTCCTATGAAGGCGCCAAAGGTCCCGCGTCCTCCGAATGCATTCATTCTGTATCGTCAGCGCCACCACCCTAAGATCAAGGAAGAATATCCTGACTTTTCGAACAACGACATTTGTAAGTTGCTTGTTCATGCTCTTTGTTATGCTCAGGTTCACTAATATGCCTAGCCATCATGCTTGGAAAGCAGTGGAAAGACGAACCCGAAGAGGTCAAGGCCCAATTCCGAAACCTAGCAGAAGAGCTCAAGAAGAAGCACGCTGAAGACCATCCAAACTACTATTATACCCCCCGCAAGCCTTCTGAGAGAAAGCGTCGTGCTTCATCCCGTCAGTTCTCCAAGAACACCAAGTCTGCTGCAGTGCTCGATATTCCGGCTTCGATGAATGTTGCGTCTGATGTCTCCACTCCTGCCATGCACCAGGGCATGCCGGTGGGCGAGATTGACTTCAATGCTGCCTTTGAAGGCGTTCCAGATATGGATGTCATCATGAGTCCTACCGGCATACCGGAGGATCAGCAGTTTCACTTTGAACCAAATGGCTTCGATCTCATTCATCAGATGGAGAACGATTACAATAAGGCTGCCCTCTACCAGCAACCCAGCCTGGCCGAGGGTCCTGTTGGAGAGAACTATGAATTCTCTGACTTCATCACTGATTGCTTCTAAGGTTGACTGGAACATACGCTTCTTGTCTGCTTGTCATTTTGCCCCTTCTGCTGTTGTTACTTAAGCAAGCACTATGTGTACATTTCTCCATTCGCGCCTCTAGCTGAGGGCTTCGTTACAACAATACCTTTGACACTGTACCATACCGGCGCGGATAGTTTGTTTTCTTTACTATTTATCCTGGGCGATGGGGGATCTTTGACGAATCTGGGGAATTGCTTTCAGAAGATATTAGGTGAATCCGTGTAATTACTCCGAAAATATCAGACCTCTAGATAGGTAGTCATTGAGCTAGGACATAGCAGACAGACAAATACAAAGAACGGGGCTAATCAATATGTGTTATCTCAAGTGTTCACTCTCTTCTTCCCGGTCCTCAGTTGACCAGCTAGTCCTCAAGGTCGAGAGTAAGTTAAACGTGTCTGCGTCCCAAGCGCTGCCCCCCTTGCTCTTCAAGGTTACTTGACAGTTTCTGCAGCCTGTTTAATTAGTTCTAATACAACCTGCATGGTGGCCCGTGCTGGCGGGCCCTTGCATGCCACAACTGCTTGAGAGCCGTGCACCTGTCATATCCGGTTCCGGCATGCTTATTTCCATGAACACCAAAACATGCGTTCTTCAGGGGCCATGAGGTACCTTTAATTCCATGCTTAACTAAAGGTGACTGCAATGCCTTTGCTTTAAAGAGAGAGAGTTATAATAAGTATCCTTCAATCAGGCCAAGTCCTTCTCTCGGGACTAAGCTCGCTAACCACCTTTTTTGTCCCATAGTTATTCTTGTTTAGAATAGATACACCTCGGAGAGTCTCACTTGACGAAATGTCTTATCATTGAAACCATGATACATCATACCATTCGTAGCCTTCTAAGTATAAAACCGGGTATCGTTACACTATCGCAAAAAGAAGTTGCCCCAGACAGAAAATCTACGGAGCGGAAGGGTTCCAATCGCTGGCCCATATGAATGTAGGAAATCGCCACTGTATCCCCTTTTCCTTGTTTCCGCTGGGCCCAAGGGGTCTCAAACAGATCCAGAACGATCTTCCGCAGTTGATGCCAGGCTTCTTAGTTGTCAGACTGAAACATGGTTCCTGGTGGCCCTCGCACTTGGGAATGGGCTTTTTAGTGAAGAGCTTTGACCAATCTTCCTTGCTGACAATGGGATCGATAATAGTATCATTGCTTTGGGGTGAAGCGGGAGCTGTAGGAGTCGCGGAATTTGGCTGTTCTCCTGGAGAAGCTTCACCAGCGGGAGCTGTCAGTAATGCTTCCAGTGCAGGAGGTTCTGTAACTGGGGTAGATTTTGTAGGGGATGCGGCTGGTTGTTTCGTTGGCATAGTAGACACTGTTGCAGGATCCTGGGCTATGGCCATTTGGCTGGCTAGACCACTTTTAAGTTTGAAGAACCCCTTTAGAGTCCTCTGTCCAGCAGTGGGGGGTGTTGATGATTGGGCTGAACCCGATGTCAAATACTGGACTGAGACAGGGGAACCTGTCTCATATTTCTGAGAGCTCTTACGAATAACTTCTTTCATTTGAGTGCTGTCAGCAGCTACTACAGGCTGGCAGGTAGCTATGACGCTGGCAGCACTCTCCAAAATAGCGGGTGCTGTTCCCTTTTCCTGACTAGAGGTAAAATATCTCAATGTCAGGATGTTCGTCGTCGGTCTCTATACGTTGGCTGATGGTTTACGCAAGAACATGTCCTTGATCCTCCTCCGCTTGTTAAATTCTGGTATTAAGCGCCCTGATGTAGGCAGAAGATATTTAGTAGAGTATTCCTGCTGACGCTCGCCATCTTTAAACATCCCAGGAGGGCTCATTTAATGTTGACCTCTTCTTCGCCGAGGCGTATAACATTTTTGAAGACAGCATAAACCGGACAATCATCAGATCCCTGTCCCAAATTGCATATTGTCAGCTAGAAAATCAATCTACAATAAAGCCATGGCAGCCTTGGGGCTTACCATTAGATCCTCTTAGATATTCAAATCGCAGAACTAATCTTGCATATCAAGGCTACACAGGACGTAGTCTAACCTTGAGCCATAATTGCCGGGTCGAGCGTTGATTCTTGTTGGAAACTGCAGTACCTGTGACGGGCGTAGGCAGTATTGTTTTCAACTGGCAATCCTGTATAATGTATTAACGAATATCGCAGACTTGGAGAGAGAAATAGGCAGATACATCTCCCTCTCCTTCTTATATACATGTTCCCAAACTTCCACTGGGTTCCAACCTCTTCCCGATGGTTCTTCTAGAATGTTCTATGGTTGAGGGCATGGCTGACAACCACAGCCCAGGCCATAGCCTATGACAATATCACCCGCTTCAGCAGTATTCTGAAGAAGATTACGGACTAATACGTCTTGTTTCTCATTCAGAGCCCCTGCTGGAGGGCTGTTTGGCCTTAAAGGGTCGTTTAGTGGAGGGTTTCGATAAGATCCTGTAAACTTATGTCACTTGCTTATGTCAAAGACATCTTTGATCTGTGTCACTGCGGTAAGTTTATCTCGCCAGAACTGCTATTTAGACCGTCTAGTTATCCGACGGAAGTCGTTTCTTGAACAGAGACCTAAGCGGAAGTCTTGCAACGCTTTTCTGCAGTCAATATTCCACCATGGCTGACCTATTCCCTGCGCCAAGGAGCTCCTAGCAGAGCCTTTATACGCACTAGCAGTTGCTAAGGTTAACCCATGAGCTAGACTGTCCAGGCCCTCTTCTGTTGTAGCTGAGCATTCAATGACAGCAAGGTGGGAACTGAGTAGTGAGAGGAAGCGAGGGTGGTCTAATGTATCAAATCTCAGTTTCTGAGCTGCCTCTGTGAATCTCTGGCTCCATGGCATGGTGGTGAGGAGTGGCCGATGATCTGATGTTGACTCTAAATGACTTGCTATCCTGGTACTCGACCCTGCCAGTGCTAGGGAGCTGGAGGCGAAAGTGAGGTCAAGAACGTTGCCTCTATCGTGTGTAGGCTGGTCTATCTCGGAGATAAGAACCAGCCCTAGGCGATCAAGCCAGTCAACAAATGGCTCAGCAAAGGTGGTAGGGCTGCAATGCAGTGATGGCTGCCACCTGCTATGTAGTAGGTTGAAGTCGCCGGCAAGCACGGTAGGCTGGGAAAAGTAGGAGTCAGGCAGGAGTGTAAGCGCTTTTGCAGCCTCACCTGACCTGATTGAGCCGATTGGAGCATTATAGATGTTGATTATCAATGCAGATTGTCCAGAGCGGGAGAGGATCTGTAGTAGAAGAAGGTCTGAGAGAACATCTTGATCTATTGGCTGAGGGCGGAGCTGAGAGGCCCGAATGCCCATCTTTTTCCGGACATAGGTGAGGACCCGGGGTCGACCGCTTACAAGCCAGCTGTCTGTTGGGGAGAAGCACTCGTATGATGGGTGCCTTTTTGTGATTTGCCGGCTGAGGTCAGTATATATGTATGGCTCCTGTATAAGGATGATATCAATGCCGCTAGAGTATGCTAATGAAAGGGCGATTTCATGAGTGGCTGGCCCGCGGCCTACGTTCAGCTGGAGCACTGACAGAGGCTCCGTTCTTAGGCGGGGTCGATATATCATAGTTGTTCGTCTAACAGAACGTCAAACCGGTTTTGAGGTTTAGGGGTTGCAAAGTGGACTGCCTGAGCTGTGACTGGAGGAGAGTCCGCAGGTACATGAGGTGGAGGGGTTGTTGCACAAAAGGGAGAGGCCATCGATTGAGCTGATGGCAGTGTTGTAAGTACGCTGTCCAAAGCCATAGTCTGATCCTGGGAGGTCACAGGAGTTTGTGTGCAGCAGTTGCTCTCCATTCGAGCTTTAGCTAGGTTCAGAGAGCCAGTCTTGCGGATCTCAGCCTGCTGGGCCGGAGAAGACATTCTATATGGTCTGCCGGGCGTGGGCCATAACAGTGTAGGCATCTCGGGGGGCAGTTGTGAGGGTGTTGGGCAGCGCAGCGGTTGGTGTGTCCCTCTTCTGTATGCTGAGTAGAGCCACAGAGGCGGCAACAGGGGTGACGAGCACAAGATCGAGAGTTGTGCCATTTCCAGCACCGGTCACATTGTATAACCTTTGTCTTCCTGGACAGGGGGCGGGTATTAGTGACGATGCCAAAGAGACGTAGCTGGCGTGGGAGGGCTACTACTGTTCCTTCTGGGAAGTTGATAAACTAGCTGGAAGAGGGAGAGTACTTGTCGGCAGCGCTTGCAGCGGTTTCAGTGACTGAGATGGGATTGAGGCCGGTGGACTCAGCAATTGCTGTAACTATAAAGTCCCTGGATTCATCAGGACGAGGGAATGCTGGTTCTGGACAAGCTGCCCAATGGTCCTTGGGACGTTTGTCACTCTATATGAGATCCAGTGTGAGCTGTGTTCTACTCGGCATTCACCAAAAAAGGAGGAGATAGTCTCCTTGTGAGCTTCCAAGGCGGAGAGATTGTCAGGAGTAGAGGGGCACAGGGCAAAGCCAGTCCTTATAGACTGCACTTCTTTAAGCATGGCGCCATTTGGGCCTAGTCCGGCTCGAAGGCTGGAGTAAATTGCATAGGACTGCATGCCCCTAGCTGGATGACCGTCTGGTAGGCGGATAAAGAGGCGGTTGTCTGGGGGAGGCGGCTTAGCAGAGAGTGCGGTCTTTTTGGACTGCCTGTCTGAGGTTTGGGTGTTGTTTGGCTTCTTCGCTTTAGGAATTGGCTTGCTTGAGGTGGAGAGGCAGGCAGCCGCAGCGTAGATTGGCTGATCCAGGCTGGAGGGCGGGCGAGAGGCTGGGGGGGAAGGGGGCTTATAGACAGCGAGGGCAGGAGGGCTGCAGACCTCACTTACATCTATGCCGCTGATAAAGGCATTGAAGTGGCGTTGTGCTACTGCAGCAAGATCCTTGCTCAAGAGGGCGAGAGCTCTCTGCAGGTGCGGTGCAAGACTGGAGGACTGAGCGCGGTGCTTATCCAGGAAACCTGCAATGGGACTGATTATTTTCTGTCCCTCTGTGGCTCTGGTTGCGGCGGCATCCGTAGACTCTTGAAGAGCTGCTTGTAGAGGCCCTTCGCGTCGGGTGCGGTTCTGAGCCATCTCCGCCAAGCGCGTTTTTACGCGACTGGACGCGTATGGCGAGGCAGAGCGCAGGAAGAGGACCAAGGAAGAGACGCCCGTAAGTTATGACACTTGATATAGACTAGAGAGCTTTTGTTGACTGCGTGAGGTCACCAATAAATGGGATAGTTTTATTGGGGTTGCCTCATGTGATGATCACACCGCGGATTAGGCTTCACTGGCCTGCAGAGCTTACTGCGGGGTTCCTCCCTCCTGCAACTGCCTCATGAGACTCAGCTGCTTGCCTCCGCAAGTTGCTCGTCATCTCTCACGCAGTCAAGACTCAATTTTTCCCGCCCACCTCCCTATGTACATAGAATCATAGTGCGATACTACTACGTACCAACATGAACATACGGCACCCAATGCAGTGGGCCGTTGTAGTAATCGTCATCGTCACAAAGAACAACATCTCTTAGAAATCTGGCATTCCTCTGATTCTGATCGCAGGTACTAAGAGATTCAGCCATGTCCCTGATCATGGACATGTCTGCTTTTCTGGTTGATCCACGGCCACGTCTGACCTTCGCTGGCATATTCAGCCAACGATCCCGAAGCGCTCTCGTAGCATTATGGAGCCCTCGGCACACGGATTCATCTGTCATTCCTCCATCCCTCATTCCCTCATACGTGACCCTGGCCATGTCAACACAGGTTTCATCGTTGACCTCCCACAGAGTACCAATGACGTGACGAAACCCCGCCAATTGGCACGCGCTGATCAGGTGAATGCTCTCGTCGACAAACCTCTCATCTCTGATTTGACCGGTTCCGCAAGCCGAGAGGTGGCGAGAAATGGAGAGTATTCTCGGATATTTGTCTCCAGAAGATTGGCGACAGTCAGCGGATCATCCTTGCCATCCTCCAATAGCAGATGACTCTTGGAAGGATCATAATGATCGGAATGGCCATGGCCAGAAAAATGGAATATACTGCATTGCGGCAAATGAGATAGTATCTTTTGCTTGCGTCGCTCTGGTTCGATAGGGTTGAATTTCATAGATTTGCAGAGAGAATGTAACATCGCCACCTCTTTAGCCGCAAAGGCTGGAATGACCTGATGTTTGCTCCATAGCGACAAGGAGCGCCTGGGCTGAGGGAGCTTGTGTAAGTGGACGCCGGCGGGCATGAATAATTGCCTGGACTGACGAGCTGTAGGATGACATGACCCTATCAATCACTGTTTCAGTAGAGCCATTGGCATGGCGTCCAGCTGCATGGAGAGGAAATCTGGTCAGAGCACCCGTAGGAATCCACCATACATGTGGCCAATCATCGTCAGATGGAGGCTGGTTAAATCCCAGCGCCCCCAGAATCGGACTCAAAACAACATCCCACAGCCACTCTAAATCTTCGGACTTGTTAAATGATCTTCCTGTTCCTTCTTTTTGATCTCCTCGCTGTTGAGGTTGGGTAAATCTAGGCGTCGTATGTGGTGCTGTTCAATAAGTATCGCATCACAGCGGTACTTACTGACATTTATAACGACAATAGGGCCATATTTTGCAGCAGATTGCATGTCCTCTCCACTTGGCGCGAGCAAGAAGTCCTGAAACCCAGGCTTCTTGCGGATTTCAATGATCAGCTCG